CTGTCGGGGAGACCTGAAACGAGCGGGTCTTGTCCGCGAGGCTGAGTGCCTTCACCTAAGTCTGAATGGGCTTTCCTTGCATTGAGTTCCTCTGTGTTCCAGCCCCATTCATAGTCCGAAGTTGCTCAGAGTGAGATTGCGGGACTTATGTCAGTCTCTGAATGAACCCACGCCTGAGTTTTGTGCAGATCAAGGCTAATCCAGATCAGCCAGATTGACAGTGACCCTTACTTTTGTAAGACGCGGAAGTGTCTGACCCAGCCCCTCTTTTCTCCCTCTCCCTCTCTCTTTCTCTGTGGCATCATCGTTAGATAATCTAAAGTAAAACTTGAGTCTGCAGTTTCTTTCTTTTTTCCCCCCACACCTTTCTTTTTACTCTTTAGCGGCTAATTTTACAGAAATGTGGTAAAAAGAACTTGCATTGCTACTGCCGAGGTATACTAAACCTGTGTGTTATCAAGAGTGAGGTTGAGTGAGGGAAGTGCAGATCTCCCCTAAGTATCTCATCTTCTTTATAGAAGGATAAAGGCGTAACGAGGTTGAAAATTGATTTCCTTGGTAATAGCTTTTTAAAACCTGTAGATTCTCATCGCAGCTCCGGGGTTTGTAAACAGGAAGGCCAAACTGGACCGAGACGTGAAAGAAAGGGAATGAATGTGGAAAAAGAATCCTCTACATAGGGCCTACTTCAAACAATGGGATGGAAAGGGATGAGGAGGGATTTTTTTTTTCACCTTAACTACTGGGAAGATTTAACATAGCATAACTGAACAGCTCAATAAAATGGTCTCGAAATATTGACAGACTAGTTGTATATGCCATTTAATTTTGTTTTAATGATTATGAGTATATATAGAACTTAATTTTGGAGTCACAAAACAAATGCTGTTGAGAATAACAGCCTGATATATAAAGTAGTGTAAAATAACTTTGCTTTGTTTTTGCAGTAGCAATTATCTGAGTTTCAACAAGGATTTACCTTGTAAACATTGGAAAATCTTTTGTGCTCGTTTTTACTGACGGTCTTGAAGTGTTAGCTTTGTATTATTGATAATAATGGGGGCAGAATAGTGGGAGGCATAGAAGTTGTTTTCTATACATGAATAATTGATGAAATTATAATGATTACTTAAGAACTATTTTTCTGTCTTAATAGGTGATATTCCTAAAGTAACAGTGGTTCCTTCATTAAACATCTGCGCTGTTGGGGACTGTGATAAGCAAGCATTTTAGAATCTTTACTGTGGTTTTTTTTTTTTTTCTTCTTTTGCTTCTATACTAGGGAAAAATATAACCAAATTAATATCTTCTAAACAAGCAAATACACAACTAAAGAAGGCATTTAGCAAAGTAAATTTTTTCTTGTCCTATTTTTGCATGAAGTTTAATGTTAAAAGAAAAAGTTATTGTGACTTGAAGACTTTTTAATGTGTCTCAGTGTCTTAATCAAGATGTCTATTTTTGGAATATTTAATATTTAAAATATATTGTAAGTCAACTATACTTCAATAAAAATATGTATATATGTTACACCATCAAGAAGGAGCCAGGGATTTCCATTACAGTAGTTAGTATTAAGCTGATGGAATGCATGACATTTTTCTGAATTGCACTGGAGAGGGCGGTATTATATTTTTGTAGCTGTTATTTAAATCTAAGGAAAGGCTTACCCACCTTATTGAAATGTCAAGGCATTCTATAAATATATTTTAACTCAGTAATACCATCTAATAAGTACATCTGCCTGCTTATGTGCTTTGTTCACTGCAAAGGTGAAACATACTTTAAGGAAAAGTTTTGTGTAAAGCCAAAGAGACTGTATATATAACTGTGGCCCTCAGTATGTTTCATTGTTTAAATATATAACTAAGGAATTCTTAAGTCCACATGGATTAAATAAATGTTATTGATCTTATGTTTTGAGCCCTAATTCAAAACCAGTCAATGTGTTTTACCATTTCAAGAAATAAAACTTAACTTATCTCATTTTAAATATTATTATCTAATTATTAATCTTGTTTTTGTTCTAAGTGTCTACACAAACTTTTAAGTAAATGGAATGACAGAGGTCAGGTTGCATTCCCATACGTACTTCTGACACTTACTAAAACTACAAGTTGGGTCATAATAACTTAACCTGATCATTGATATTGCAGTATTTCCATGTTAGCGATCTGGGCTTTTTTAGTAGTGCTTTGGTAAAGGCTAGTCATCACTTTTCTTCCTCTGTGTGATTCTTTCAAATTTACTGTTCCCTTCAAGATTCCTATTCCATCAAGACCTCATCTTCTTACTCTACACAGACTACATTGCCATTTAATTCATAGAGAAAATATGTCATAAAACATTAACAGCCCTGACATCTTCCTCCATAGTCTCATTTGTTTCTTTACATGCCCTTTGTTCTTTCACCTTTCTTCATATCTAAGAGAAAGCACTTTTCCTCTTTTTTGCTAATATTAACCCCTTGCTTGTGCTCTTTATCTCATCTGTATTCTTTGGGATCTTGTGCTGTCATTTATTCCCTTTTGGGTGTTTAGTTTCTCAGTGTCTTCAGGTTCCTCCCCTCAATCTATAACAGTGACCCAAAGTAACCTTCCTTCTGTAGGACTTCACCTTCGAGTTGCTGTTCCCAGTTTCCCTCTTTTCCTCAGGCCCTCAAAATCTCCTGGATCTCAGTTATACTCTAAGGAAGCTAATGTTCCCAAAGTCATTCAGTAATAACGATGATGGTACTAATATAAAAATAGCATTTGAGTCCAACGTGTGTGCCCGGTACTATTCTAAGTACCTTACTTGGTTTATCTCATTTAATTCTCACAGAAAGCCTCTGAGGTCATATAGTGTAAGGTCAAGTGCTTTGAACACAATTTACATAAGTTTGAACCCTAGTTGTACTGCTTACTAGCTGTGGAACCTTAAGTAATTTATTCAACCTCTCTGTCTTAGTTGCCTCATCTGTAAATTGGGAATAATACCTACCAACCTATCTCAAAAAGAAGCAGAACCATAAAGCCAAATGGTTAACAGAGCTGTCTGGATTCTAATGCCAAATCATGCAAATATATATATATTAATTTTCATTCTTCTTGACCTTCCTGTAGCAGTGGGCAATATTTACCTCTTCTCCTTATTAAAACTCTTTTCTCTGGTTTTCACATCACTCTGGGCCTTGATTCACCTTGTATTCCCAGTGACATCTAAGTTTTATTTCGTTTCCCCCTTCTCTTTTTGTCTACTGCCTACATGTTGTGGAGGTTTGGTCCTCTGTCTTCACTCTCCCCTATGAACTTCCTGTCGGACTAGAAGTTTAGATAATTTCTAAAATATCTAGGCTAGATCTCTCTCCTAAGTTCCAGGTTCTTGAATACCCTAGGCATCTTAAATTCAATACAGTGTGACCCTTGAGTATTACAGTATTGTGATTTGAATATATCACATGTAATCATGTGATTAAAATTGCTTCTTTTATTTGGGGTCCCCTAATGTGTCTGAAGAAAACCAGTTCTAGGAATGGGAAAATGTTGGTTCCCCATTTTTTACTCATTTTTGCTTATAGTAATACTTTCTGCAGTTTATTTCTGTGAAAGAGAGAATTTTTTAAAGTGATTGTTTTATGAGGGTTAGATTACCTAAAACTAGATACTATCCTTAAATCCATTCACCTAAACTACAATACCTTGTAATATTCTGAAAGAGAGTTGGAGAGTGAGCATCTATCAGTTGCTCTACTTTGTGGAGACCTTTGGAGAAATATATGATACATGACAGCTGACATATAGAATGAGTGAGGATGCCAGTGTCAGATAAATTGAATATTAGTAAATCTAATTTGTCATTTCCTTAGATTAAAAATAAATATATTTTCTTACATTTTTTTCTCTGCGTTCTAGTGGATCATTTTATAAACCTTCTAGGATATGCATAATCAGGTTTGAATATTAGTGGTGTTTGTTCTTTATAGGATAAGATTAGGATTACTCATCATAGCAGTTTTTACACATTTTGGTTTTAACTTATGTTTCCAGCTACTTTTCAATTCTGTGGCCACTTACCCTCCCCGTAACATATGTTTGTTTGCATTGTTCTGTTAGTATGAAATATCCTTATCTCTTACCTCTTCGTGGCAAAATTCTACTTGTCCTTCAGGGACTAGCATTTGTGCCACCTCTTTTGGAGAGGTTTTCCTGAGAAGGTAGTACAGTAGAGTGACTAATGGTATAGGTATAGTGTCTGATGGTATAGTATAGTGTCAAATGGTATAGGCTGTTTTTTGACTAATGGAGATAGTTGACTGGATTTTAGTGGAACGCTCTCTTACTTTGGACAAACTACTGAACTTTGATGTGCTTCATTTCCCTATCTGCAAAATAGGGATAATAATACTATCAATTTTGCTAAGTGTTGGGAAGATTATTTTAATAAAATTATAGATGTGAAATACCTGGCATAGTGAGTTCTTTATAAATGATATAAACAATTGTTAATTCTAAGCATTTAAAAATATTTTCATCTTGTAATCAAGATTTATACTTAAAGTATTATTTATATCACCTCCAAAGTTATTATTAAATTGAAAGGGCACTTTATTGTTGATGGCATCATAGAATTAAGGAAATATCTTGATGACTCCTTTTCTTATACTCTTAGCATTTGTACATATTTGTTTTAGGATTTTGTATTTTATTTATGTTGTTATTATTTTGTATCTTATCCCTTTCCTCATTTGTCATGTGAACTCCTCAAAGTTAAGGGTCACCTTTGTAGCTGCAGTGAATAAACGTTTTGCCTGGCACATAGTGGACTGTCATTAGATGTTGATTGAAAGAGTTTACTCCCTTTTTGGACTATCACAAGAATGTCTTCCTCATCAGGCTTTGATCTTTTTTCCCTCTACTAATATGGTTTGACACTTTTTCACACTCAAATATGGAGTCATTAGATTTGCATTTTGTTGTTTTTCAAGCCTACATCAATTCTTTGGTTAGTTTAACATGGTTAATATTTGAGTTATAAAATTATTCCTGAACTCAAAAGTTAAATACAAATGGAGATTCTGCTTTTATTTTGCAAGAACGTTTGCTGAAGATGACCTTAGAGGAGAGACGCAAAGAATACGTAAGGGACTATGTTCCACTGAACACCATCCCATCGTGGAAGGAGGAGATGAAGGGCAAGAGCCAAAATGATGGTAAGTCTCTCAGAACATTTTTCAGGTAGATACTGTTCCCATTTATTTATGACTTCGGGAGAATTGTTGGTAGAATTGAATAACTGGCATTTAATAAAGAGATGCCATTTTGTTATATGAAATAATTGGTTGTCATTTAATTGTTTTTCATAATGTACTATGTTTTATTGAAACTTAAGAAATTATTTAAACATAAAATTGTATTCTGAAATATACCACATTTATATTATGGAACTTTTTTACAGGTACTTTTAAAAAACTATTCTATAGTAGTCCTTGGAGCAAATGATATTAGGAATTTGCTGCTCTGGTGGTATGGCCTTTGAGTTTGTTTTGGTTAGGTGCATTTATATCAGAATTCTTCAAGTTATTTTAAGGATTGAATAATTGAAGGACAGTGTATTAGGAAGAATAGAGAAAAATCAACATTTCACATACTTTTAGAGAAGAGTATATTTGTATGATGTGGTATTATGTCTACATATTAAGTATTTATATAACAGAATTTACTCACTTTCAAAGTCTTCATGGTTTGATGAGAGTCTAGATTAGGGAAAATATATGTGTTAAAATATAAGCAAAATTTTAGGTATTAAAAGGGCACATGAAAAAATTCTGAAAAACAACATAGTAGGTTTAATGGATGTTTAATACGCTTTTTTAAAAAAAATGCTTATCTATGAATTAACACTCATTGGCAGTAATGGTCTGAATGTGAAATTTAGAAGAAACATGGTGCTTTTTAGGGTACCTAAATGTTGAGAAAGAAAGGTAATTTTATAAATGGGACTTGGAAGATTCTAATTTCATAGATTGTTGTCTTAGATTGATGGAACTATATAATTTTCTTTGGACCCTGAGCAAGAAGACTAGCATGGAATTCCTATGGATAAAATCTGTGAGAAATAGCGGCCAAATTAGCCTTTGGTGTCTGTGAAGATAGCACATTTACCTGAGTGTTTGGGCTTTAGAGGGAATTTTGTTTTTCTAGGAAGGCAAAGCATGTGGGTTCTTTTACAGCTTACTCTGCCTGGAAACATGTATGACCTTGGGCAAAGAGGGTAGTAGCTTTCCCCCAGGTTCTGTTGGGGGTCACTGGACAAGCTGATTGGGATGTACACATCTGACCTGCTGCCTAGTGTCTTCAGTAAATGCAAGTTGTTTTAATAATGGTGTAATTAAGACATCCTTGAGAGAGAAGGTAGTGCTGTGTAAAGAAAAGAATACAGAGCTAGAGATTGAAAGGACAGAACTGTGGGCCCTGTCCAAACCAGAGACGTGTGTCTCTTCATGTCAGGGTCTCAGTTGTTTATTCTTCTGCTTATGAGAAACTGGTATTGAAAACTTCAGTTCCACTTTCTATGGCTAGTGGATCTCTCTTGTACTTCATTCATCAGATTTTTTTTCTTGGTTGCTGTTGCAGCTGGTCAGTTTTCTAAGGATGCAGTACATGATGATGTTCTTTTTTCTTTTTTTTTTTTTTGGTTTAAACAAATTTTGGCTCCTGATACAGAGGTAGATTTCTGTTGCTGCTAGAATAGTTGACAAAGCAGTAGTGATACCCAGGCTGCATTGCCCAGTGTTGGGTCTGCTCTCCTCTGCATGTAGGCTTGGCCTTTATATTGATTGCTTCTGTATGAATATCCCACACATATGAGTGTACAGTTGAACTGGGTTGTTAGAGAACTCAGTTGGATGTTTTCAGAGATACCGCAGACCAAAATATTTCCCCCTAAGCAGAAAAAATTGACTAATACCTCACATTATTATTCCCTAAGGAGATCCTATGTATTTAATCCTGTTTCCCAGTGTGAGCTTTATAAATGGTTTACAACTACTCTGTGTATTTCAGTTTTTTCATTCATGCTTTTTTGAATGTGAAAGTTCTTCATGAGGCTCTAGGTGGTGTGATCAAAATTGTATTTTTATTAAAGAGTGTTTTATTTCCATCTAATGTTACTTGCTTCTCTCTATTGTGACCTGGAAATTGGTGTTTCTCTTGTTTTTTTTTGTGAAATGGAGTGGCTCATTCTACAAGTAATTTCTTTTCTACAAGTTAATTTCTTTTCAAAATATGTATCTTTCATAGTACTTTCTTCTAGTGTTACCTATCCAGTGCTCAGTTATACTAAAGTATTAGACAAGAGAGTCTTGGTATTTTAAAAGTTTGAAAGAACCTTTAAAAATATAAATTAAAAAAAATGATACAGGACAACTATAAATATAGTTATATTTTTATATTTTATTTTGAAATATTTAAGCCACTGCTTATAAATGTATATGTATATAAGTAGGTACTGATATTTATAATAGTTTAATCTTTTAAGTATGCAAGAAGTCTATAACTCTATGTCATATAGTTTCTGATTTGTAGGAAAGGAACAGTACTTACTGGGCTAGCACAATATACCAATTTTAAATTTAGTAGTTTGTCATTATTATCTCTGTTTCTATAGGAGACCATTTTGGCCTTGCTATCCATGATTACATGGAAAATTCACAAGCTGGTATTTAAGAAACTTTTCTTTGCTCACTTTTCTTTTACTTTCACTAAAATATATTGTAATAGAAAGTTAAGAAAAGGGGGCAGTGGCCAAATATGTTTGTCACAATTTTGACTTTAAGCTGTCTTAACAAAAAGAAACCAAAAATTGCCAAACAATGTAAACTCAGTGTTTGTGCAGAAAGAAGGAAGCAAGTAGATAATATTTTTACTTTGACATGACTTTTGTAATATTGGAAAGCTAGGGGTCAGCAGAGGAAAGAATGGGAGATGATTACAAAAAAAAAACCCATTTGGTTATTGTTCATGTTCATATTTGTCAAATACTATTAGTAAATCTCTGGAATTATATGCTTCTAATTATTTCTTCTTTGTGAGCAATTATATAATAATTCTATTTCATTTGTCAGTCACTCTGTTGCAGGGAACTTTAAAATGCTTGTCTCTTCTATTATACTGTGTCTCTAGCACCTGGAATAGTGCCTCTGTGTAGGTGGGCTCAATCACTATGTTACATAAGAATGCCTCAGAGGTTAACAGTCTACAAAGGACAATTCTTTTTCTTTATTTTTTTTCAAATTTAAAAATGAGCATTTAAAAACATATATAAAAATAGAGTAGTGTAATGAAGCTTTATGTGTCCCTCATCAAGTTTCAACAGTTAATGATGGTCAGTTTTATTCCGTGTATACCAGTGATCCCTGCACCCTTTTCTCCCAGACTGTTTTGAAGCAATTTCTGTACATCATATCAACTTTATCTGTAGACATACGTATGTGTGCCTATGCATGCATCTCTAAAAAGAAGGGACACATTTTTGCTGCTTTAGTATAATCGCAGTACTGTCACCACACCTGAAAATTAAGATTTCTTTAGCATAATTAGATATGCAATTAATATTCACATTTTTCTCATTGTCTGATAATTTTGCTTTCTTGTGCAGTTGGTCTGCCTAAGTCAAGATCTAAAGAAAGTTCACATATTGCATTTAATTTATGTATTTGTCTCTTTTAACTTATGGTTTCTTGTCTTTCCATCCTTTTCTCCCCTTGTAATTTATTTGTTGATAAAGTAGGTTATTTGTCTTATAGAAGTTTTTACATTTTGGATTTTGCTGAGTGTATCTTTGTGGTGTCATTTAACATGTTCCTCTGTCCCCTGTGTTTCTTATGAGCTGGTAGTTAAATCCAGAGGCTTGATCAGACTGGGGTTTAATTTTTTTTGGAAGAATACTTTATAGATTATTGTACTTTCTTTTGAATGATGTCTGGTTATCACTCTCTGTGGTGATAAGACTGATCACGAGGGTCAAGTGTTGTCAGCCTAATCCATTCTTTGTAAAGTTCCCTGTCACCATTTTAACCTAGTAAATTTAGCAGCCATTGATGATTATTGCTTAGATTCATTATTTTACTAGAGGTTGCAAAATAGTATTGTCCTAATTTTTAATTCTTTCTTCATTTATTGGACTTCTATAACGAACTTTTTCTTACCAGCTTTTTTTTTTCATGCAGTACAGTTTATACAGAAAAGGCAGAATAAATGCTAGATTTCTTTTTATTTACCAGTTTTCAGTTGAGTTGGTTTCCTGAAGTCCTCCAAAGATAACCAAAGATTCTTTCTTCTTAAGTTTTACTGTCATTTGAAACCTCTTCCCCCCTCTTCCTCCCCCTGCATATGTTAAATGGGATTTAAAGTATAGTGCTCATACAAATGCATACAGTTACTAAACTGTAGTCCTAGGATATAGAAGACAGGCAAAGATAGATATAGATATATAAATGGATGGATGGGTATGATAGAAGGATGGCATTGCTTCTTTATAGGGACAGAAGTTCAGTTCTCAGGTTTAATTGGTATGTGTTCTGTTTCCTTTTGCTACTTTCCATGCTGAGGTTCTAGTAGAACAGCACATAGAGAAGCACGACTCTGCCATGCTTCTGCTAATTTTTTCTTACTGGTTGGTATCATGGAAAATAGCTGCAGCTGTAAGTTTAGATTGAGTCATTACTTTTCATGTTCATATGGAACAGTCAAGGTTGGAAAATATAATAAATACTGAAGATGAATTAGGAGGAAACTAAAACTCAGATATGACAAAATATTTTAAAAAGGGTCATTTAGAAAGAAATTTCATATTTCATATCTTATATATAGTGTTTTAATATGATATATAGGTCATTTGAAAATGCTTAACTAGAAAATGTCTGAACCATGAAGTCTAAGTCTGAATCTCCATTTTTTTGAAGTTTATTAGCAATATTTTGAGATCTGTGAATTGACTAGAGAGAGGCATGTGTGTAATCCTTGTTTTTTTATATTAATAATTTTAGCATGGTTAGCTGAGAAGTTCAGCCTTATTTGCTCTTATTTTTATTAAAAGTAATTTTTACTCTTAAATAATTTTCATAAGAGGTGATAGCTGACCAAAGAAATAAAAGTTAAATCCAGACTCCTGAGTCTGCCTGTCACGTTGAGATCTTCAGTGTGGGTTTTG